CTGCAGACTCCCTATATTGTGCTTTAATAGGACCATCCTTGGATAACATACTTCAGATGGACATGCCTCTTAATATGTTGCCAAATCAGACATTTACTGAAGATTTTTCTTAGCTGCCATTATTCACAAAATATATGACAAGAGAAAAAATAGGACATGTAACAAAAACATAGAACCATTTCGGTCTAAAAATGTTTTCCCCTAGAATCTGTATAAAGCATTTCCCCTCTCTCAGAATAGCTTTAAAAGGACTGATAATTCCAGTGTTACTTATGTAAAAAGGCACAAGAGCCAGTACAGGTCTTGTCATGTCATCACCATCTGTGCAACAGATCATACTGTCTATTACCATTTCTACCACTGTGATTTTCACCTGACACTAGGAATAAAGGCAACTATGACTATAGAACAAACACACCACTAGGACTAGCCAGAGGATGGTACTGGTGAGGGGTAGGTGGTAGATGGGGCAGAGGAAAGCGTGTGGGTGAAGTCCTAGGGCAGCTAATGCTCACCATGACATTTACACTTAATCTGAGTCATTCATATCGTAATCCGTCTCTTCATCCTCGCTCTGAATGGCATGCAGCAAGTGTAAAGAAAGGGAGGGAAAAGAAAAGATTGCAAGTGAGTCAGAGCCAATGCAAAGTACAATCCACTTACACTTGAGGTACGTGAGGCTATTTTACTTTAACCCAATTCTTCATAAGGCAATAAGATACCAGACAATTTAAAAGCAGGATAATTATAAATAGCAGGAAAATTAGTTTTCCCCACTGTCCCAGGTATCAGCAGATTACTGCTAATGGTTCCATTCAGTTCAGCATTCATTTGACACAATGAAAGGGAACACTATGTAATGAGACAGCTGATGCTACATATGGTACCTGAAACTTGTGAACTCTGCAACTGGCTCCATGTGTCTGTGGACTCTTAACACTTGGAAACTTAGCTTTGGAGGCAGACATCAGGAGGAACATTGGGTCATCCCCTCCTAATTGAGCACCTCAAGAAAGTGGGCAGGGAAACCAAGTGGATTTGGGAATGGAGAGCTCAGAGAAACACAAGCTGCCCCACAAGTGCTCTGCTTAACAAACAATGCCATTGAAACAGTTTAAGTAATTGGCTCAAAGGGGTTAGTTTACTCCTCCCAGCTACATTAGAAAGTTACATGTCCATTCCAGCTATCAATAATAAGACTCAGAGAAAGGCAATGGCTGAGTGGCATTGCTTCCTCAAACCCCACAAGAGATCCAACTTTTGGGCAAGCTGGTAGATATACTGTTTAGGTTGTGCCTATGCAGTGGTGATATAGCTATGTTCATCCCAGGATACTGGAGAGACAAGATGGGTGAAGTAATATCTTTAATGGACCTACTTCTGTTGGTGAGAGAGACAAGCTTTCGAGTTTACACAGAGCTCTTCTTCAGGTTGTGACTGTTATTGTTCTACTGAACTTGGCCCATTTTAAGTTTTACTTAAAACAGAAGTTGAAGAGTTTAGTAAACTACAATTAGAATCTGCAGAAGCCAGAATGAAAATGAGCTTGAACAGAAATCCAAATCAGCAGCGAAATGGCAAAAAATGAATCAACTGTTCAGAAAGGAATCTAAATACTTTACATAACACTCATGCTCACAGTCCTTGGAAGCCTGACTACGGTAAGGCTATTTTCCTTACTAATTCCCCAGGATGTAGTCCAAGTCCTGGGTTATGTACATTCAGTGTAGGGCTTATTTTGGGAGGGTTCCTGTATGGACTTTGCAAACACAAGGGTGAGAGGTTAGTTGCATTTGAGGGGTGTTCTGAAAACAGATGGCCTTTCAGAATGCTCAGAGTTGTTTCTTCCAAAGTAGGAAATAATTAAAAAGAAGGGTACATGCTAAGTTCTCTTAATGGGAAATATCTCGTAGTGTAAGATTCAAGAGTCAGTGTATATACTTATCACTGTGTAATGCTATCTCATAGAGGAGCACATTTTAAGTTATTTTACAGCTGTAATTCACATGGCAGCAAAATCTTCACTTACCAGACTTCACTGCCATTGCTTGAAGTTCACCAGTGTATTGCTCAGTATTACTAGCATGTCACTTTTGGAGAAAGTCAATAATGTAGAATACCTGTCACTGGGGAAGCTTTTAGTACCTTTGGAAAAACTACTTTCAAGTTTTAGTTGCTATTGTTTCTTGTTCTATCTTATTTAGGCAAATTGTGTCCTCCGTGAAGAGAATACCAGATTAAAAAAACACCAGAAAAAGAAAGAAAAACTGGAAGAGCCAGATCAGCTGGGGCTGCTCCCAACATGGTTTTTTTTGGTTTGTAAACCCACCACTATTAATAAAGATTCTGGTAATCTGGTGGGTAATGCAGAATTAAATACAATGGCCCTTTCATATCTGTACTGATAGGTTTTTTTAGATGTCATGACACAAGGGTTCTTGTGCTTTCCCCTTCACAGCAGCATCGATCAGAGCCACCTAAACATTTGTCAATATGTAATTCTGGGTGACCTTCATTATCGTTTCAATGGAATAACAAGTTGTTGAAGGTTAAATCAGACACAGTTTAGCAGATTATGAATTTGAGGTTAAACTGGCTTGAAAAATCCATCTGTCAAGAGGACAGACCCCAAGAAACAGTTCTGACTCAACATTCTAGTACCTTCCAACCCAAATGGGATTTAAAAAAACAGAACAAAAACCCCACAACCCTCCCACCCCCAAATACTCTGTTAACAGTACGAATATTAAAAGGAAACTTCAAAAAGCTCCCCTCTTGCACCTGTCCACAGTCCCTACCCCACTACTCACATCCTGTTCCCTGACATGCCCTTTAATTTAGAACACCCTGTCCAACAATTGCACCAACAGGCAAGTTTATGTAGTTATGATTCCAATAAATTATTTCTCCAAACTTCTTCCTGCATTTTGATGTTAGCCCAAGTCTGGTAAAGACAACTCTCCCATCCCAAACCCCCACTGGCCAATGCATAGTGGAACAAAAGTCTGCTAATTTCTGGGGATTTTTTTCACTCACTTTCCTTTCAAAATGACTTTATTTGGTATCAGAGAGAGAGCTTCCAACTGTGTATTTTCAGCCAAGCAACAGGACTATGCTTACTCTTGGTTTTTAACTAACTCTTACTGTTCTAATCTCATGCTATTTCCCACTGTGCTCATTCTTTCGAGTACACGACTCCCTTCTGTGCATCAAGATTCTGGATGAGCATTTGAGACACAGCAGCGCTCTTCAGAGGTCCTCTACCAAGCCTGTGAATTTCACTGCAGAGAGTATAAATGCTGGCATCTCTTAAATGTCTGAATGGCCAAGAGCTGCACTGTACTTGTTCTGGACTAGTCTCTCCTCTTTAGACCCCAACACTGTTTGGTTTGGTATTCTACACATTTTCTATTAGCCTAGCATCCAGTCAAACTCTGGGTCCTTCTGAAGCATGTTGTTGCAGAAGAGTCACTGAAGTCCCTTGTAAAGATATGCATTATGGTCAGTAATTCCAGTTTTTGCTTTATTATTTTTATCTTGGTGGTGCACATATCCCAGCCTTGAAGAGCTTACAAACTAAGACAACAAGCAAATGATGAACAGTGAGGGATAAGGATGCAATTAAAATACTCACACACATTGCTTAAAATACCACACACTTGTTGCTTAAATACCACACCGACATATAACTTATCAGCTTTTCCGTTTCTTTCAGGCAGCATGAGGTCAGTGGGCTTACACATGGGTTCAGGGAGTGATCCATATGTAGGATTTTACAGTTTTACATGTTCACTTTTTATTTTTGGCAATATTAACTTCTTATAGGGTTTAAAATAAGTTTATCTGAATTACGATAAAATACATTTCAGCAGAAATTAGCCATTTCACTAGCAATGAAACAAAAAAAGTTTTAAAATACTCAAAAGCTTTATGAAATAAGTCTCATTACTTGTACCTTACATACCCACTGTGGGTATCCACACACAAAAATGCTGCTTTCCAAACTGCTGCTGTGCCCAACCAAGAAATGAGCTGTGGACAGCATGAAAAGCAGTAGTAACCAGAAGCACACAGTAGTTTACAATAAACAATGTGAGCAGGATACATCTGCCATTGGAAGTTCCAGATCAGTCTTAGGGGGCTTTTTTCAGTGTTTATTTTTTAAAGCTGACTCTTGAAAAGTTGTGCTAAGTTTTACTTTGGCTGTTTTCAATTTAAACCAATAAAAATCAGAAATGAGTGGCAAACTTTTTTGTATAAAGATGACTAGTTTTACTACTAACCAATTATTAGTGTTTCCATCTCCCCATCAACCATGTTGTAAAATGTACAGTGCACATTGAGGGGAGGAACAGTGCAATTCATTTTCCATTTGGTCAGGGCCAACTATGAGTCAGTCATGTCACACACTGTCTTCCATAGTTATTTTCCCTGAAAGTCAACAGATCACACAAGCAAGGTCTCATGGAACCCTGAAAGCTGCAAGCTAGCACAACACATTACAAGTAAGGGACTTCATCTAATGGGAAGACTTTTATAGCTTATTGCATATGACAATACTTTTCAGACAGAATATGTCATATTCACATTCCTGGTTGCAAAACTTCTGTATCCTGACTCAGATAAGCACAGAAAACATCCATCATCTGTACTGGTGGCAGAATCAAAGTCTATCTACTGTCTGATAACCCAAATATGCATATTCTCAAAAGGAGGCACTCACTAAGAAGTCAGATAAGAGCATGGGAGTCATGGAGAATACTAAGTAGCACATTTAAAGTTCTTGTTTTGTAATGTGTGAGAGTCATACTGACAATTAGAGTTACTTTAACTGGTACAGTTTATATTCTCATGCACAATGAAAAGGGAACCATTACCGACCCTAAGGAGAGATGGCAAGCAGATTACACACTATGCTCAACCTTCTTTTGAATAATAGCTGAGTCTAATTGCTTTGACTGACATCTTTCATTTCCTCCCTCCCATGCCCAGCATCTTACCTTTGCTTTTTCACTGGGCTCGCTGGTTGTGCCGTAGGGGGTATTATGCAGCTCCTTCGAGACAACACACAGAAATTCAGCCTGATCTTCATTTCCATAGTTATAGGAAGAACCAATACTGACCAACTGAAAGAGGAGAGAAAGGCTTAGGGGTATTTCTGCACAAAACAATTGCTATCAGTTTCCTCAACTTTGGCTTTAACACTCCATAAGGTGTTGGCTGTATTTTGAGCATGAGCTCCCACATTAATGCAAACAGATGCCAACTTCTGATGTCAGGGTTAATGTAGCTGTTCCATTTAAAGGTCTATGAGTCTACTAGTGTAAGGGTGGTATTGCTAATAGTACCCTGAGTGCTTAGGCAAAATCTTACGGGGCAATCAATGGGGAGAAGCCGCCTGCTCCCATTGCATTTCAGACACCTGAACACTCCCCCCTTTCCTCCGAAAGTTATTTAAAAAAAAAAAATCTGTGTGTGGCGTGATAGTGCGGGTGGGGTTTAGACAAGCAAGGAACTGCATGCAGAGAGCACTCTGCCCTGAAGAGAGACCTGCTATTTTACTCACAGAATGACCCTATGCTTCTATTCGGAATTTACAGAGATATTTAGAGCAGGAGGCAAAAGTTAGCATTTGACTGAAAAAACAAGACAAACAGAATGGTGGGACTCAAGGACCAACTTTCAAAATTCAAATGTATTGTTACAGGGAAGTTGGTTAAGGTAGCATTACAAGTGAAAGTTATATGCTTGAAATGAAATGTTGCTTATTTATAAACTGCTAGAAGCCTTAAAACTGAACAAGGACAATTTATCTCAAAGTGCAGTCTGCTCTGATGGTGATAGTTGCATAGTGCAGAAGAAAATATCTAAGGTCAAAGGATTTACTCAGCAAGCCTTAACCAGCTGCTGAATCAAACCAGATGCAGGAATTTTTTTTGCAAAGTACATTTCTAAATTACAGATAAAATGACACGTGTGGTACTGTTATGCAGCTACAGCTGACAAAAATAAGACCAGCAAAACTGTCTGGTGCACAGACCCTCTATATCAGGGTGGGCAAACTTTTTGGCCCGAGGGCCACATCTGGGTATGGAAATTGTATGGCAGGCCACGAATACTCATGAAATTGGGGGTTAGAGTGTGGGAGGGGATGAGGGCTCCAGCTGGAGGTGTGGGCTCTGGGGTGGGGCCAGAAATGAGGAGTTCAGGGTGTGGGAGGGGACTCCGGGCTGGGGCAGGGGTGCGGGCTCTGGCTGGGCATGCGGGCTCTGGGGTGGGGCTGGGGATAAGGGTGGAGGAGGGTGTTCCAGGCTGGGACCAAGGGGTTTGGAGGGCAGGAGGGGGGATCAAGTCTGGGGCAAGGGGTTGGGGCAGGTGAGGGGGTCAGGGATGCAGGCTTTGGGCAGCGCTCACCTCAAGCAGCTCCCAAAAACAACGGCATGTCCCCCCTCCAGCTCCTACGTGGAGGCATGGCCAGGCGGCTCTGCGCACTGCCCCATCCACAGGTGCCGCCCCTGCAGCTCCCATTGGCCGCAGTCCCCAGCCAATGGGAGCTGTGGGGGCCGCACTTGGGGCGGGGGCAGTGTGCAAAGCCCCCTGGCTGCCCCTATGCATAGGAGTCAGAGGGGGGAACATGCTGCTGCTTCCGGGAGCCATGCGGAGCCACGGCACGTGTGGAGCGGGGCAAACCCCCGACACCGCTCCCCAGCTGGAGCACCAGAGCAGGGCAAGCCCCGGACCCTGCTCCCTGTCAGGAGCTTGAGGGCCAGATTAAAATCTCTGAAAGGTCGGATGTGGCTCCCGGAACGTAGTTTGCCCATCCCTGCTCTAGATCCACCCTATGCAGTCATAAATTTCACCAAATCCATCAGCCAAACTGCCACAGACATGTACTAACAGCCTTCTGTCCCCAGTTTGCAGTATCTCTATTTTCAATCCCAATATGCCAAATTTAGCTATAAAGTACCATTGATTAATGTCCATTTAATTATTAAAGTGCCTGGTATATGTCCAGGAGCAAAGGTTCAGTTTTCCTGCTGTTCAGAGCAGCATCATTTGAAACAGCCAAAAAAATTATTGTTCTAAAAACAAACAGTTTATTTCCATTAGCTCAGGGGAGCCACAGAGATATTAAAGGACCTGATGGATGCTCCTGCACCCAGTTTGAGATACGTAACAATGGAATCTTGGGCTAGAACATGGTCAGGGCATCAGGAATTAGGCTGTTTACCCATACAGGCAGAGGGAGGAGATAACTGAGCTGAAAGCGGCCCCAACACAGTATTAATGGTAAAAAACAAAGCTTCCTTGTACCCATGTGGAGTGGCAGAACAGAAATATCCAGGAGCTAGGATACTATAGTAAAGGGGCTGTGTAAGTACCTAGACAGACAAACATAACCAGGGCTTGCAAAATCTTTTACCTGGGACACTGTTTCAAAAGGTCAACTACATTTAAACAGCAAAGATACAGGATATGAGATTCACCACTGCCTCAAAATTAACCCCTTTATAACTAAAATGAACAGGAGTACTTGTGGCACCTCTAAGAGGCCAATTAAGTAAGAGAAAAAACTTGTTTTTTCTCTTACTTAATTGGCCTCTCAGAGTTGGTAAGACAACTCCACCTCTTCATGCTCTCTGTATGTGTATATATATCTCCTCAATATATGTTCCATTCTATGCATCCAAAGAAGTGGGCTGTAGCCCACAAAAGCTTATGCTCAAATAAATTTGTTAGTCTCTAAGGTGCCACAAGTACTCCTGTTCTTTTTGCAGATACAGACTAAAACGGCTGCCACTCTGAAACCTTTTATAACTGTCACTTGCCAGAAGTGCTTGTCAGTAACCATCCCGCCACCACATGCTCCTGGTGCTTTTATACATCTCAACTATGCATATGTAGTCAGAGAATATCCAGTAGACCAGAGCATGAATAAAATTAAATCTGCTAAAAATAAGGTGATATCTTTTCCACCAAAGTATTTCTAATGAAGTTACAGAAAACAAGTAATTTAAACATTCCTGGAGAATTTAATGGTGTTATTTATCTCAACATGTCCAGGCATACCAGCTTTCCCCAATGAATACTCTGCTACTTATATCAAGAATGTCTAAGTGACTGACAGGGAATCGCACAGTAAAACATAAGGCACCTTGATTTTTCAGCCATATAGAATGAACTAAAAAAGTCTGCCGTACCCTGCCTTGGAAAGAGGCTGCCAAGATTAAGAGATGAAATTACACAGCCCACTCGCAAGACAATTGAACATTAAGAAGAAAGAAAGAATTCCATACACATTAGTGACCAGTTAACTCTGTTTCTAGTCAAAAGAAGACACTGCACAAATCTTTGGAATGTAAAGCAAGTTTTTGGCCCAAACCTCAAAACTGAGCAATAAGAACAGTTAAACTGATGCAAAATGATTACTGTACAACACACATAGAATAACCAGTTTCTCAAACCAGAAAGAATATTTAAAAAACCCTTTATTTTAAATTAACTTAAACAACTTTACTTTGAAAGCACAAAAGCATTAAGTGGCTTGATACACGTTAAAACAAGATTAGAGATATCCCAACTTCCCAAAGGATTTAAAAAATAAAGTCCTATAGACAGCCAATTGTCTTCTTGCAAAATGACTTCTTATTCTGGGGAGTGTGAAGGGCCAGATGTCAGATCAACTAGGTTTACAACTGCAGCAACTATTCTGCCTGTAAAGTGAGAAATACCTCATTGCTCACTGAGGGTCAGCAAAAATAAATGTATTCTCTGAAAATAGACGTGCCAGTTATCAGAAGTGCCTCAACCAGGCCCCCTGGTTTAATACAGAATGGATCTGGTGACAGAACTCTCTAGAAGGGCTTTTAACTCAGTTTTGCTTCCCCTCATGCTTTGAAACAGCCCAAATTTGCTGACCTTCTGGGCATGCTTTTAGTGAGAAGGTGTGCTGATGGTTGGTCAGGGGGATATTAACCAGCAGGATAGTAGTTTTTATTTTGTTGGTTGTGGTAAGTCTGGATGGGCTAATCATCATATTACTGATTAGTTTGTATATTTATAGAGCCTCAAGGTACATGCTGTTTGTAATGTTTATTAAACATGGATTCTTTGAAGCTGGCCTGTGTTACACCCTTGTAAAGTGCTTATACAAGCAAAACTGTGCATATGTATGCTGCTGAGAATGTATTATTTGTATAGCACCAAGAGTGTGCTAAAAGCTTAACTCCAGAGTGTTTACCACAAGGAGTTGTTTGGTCTTGGGAACTCATTGATTTTAAAGCCCTGTCCTTCTCAAAAGGAATTTCACTTCTGCTTGTGCCTTTTCTGGTGTAGATTTATGCACTGTGCTGCTTATGGACATGAACTTGTGTTAATGAGAGGTTTCCATCCATTGTTAGAATAGCTCACTCCTAAACCACTGCCCTCACAAGAGACCTTTTGATTAGATACTAGATAGGTACACAAGCATCCTCAACTGAGAGCAAGAACCTCTGACTCCTATTTAAAGTTTCAAAGCAGGACTCAGATTGTATATGTGCATGCATGCAGTAGGGAAAGATGCTTCCCCCCACCAACCCTTTAATCTCTGTCAGTACTTACCATTTTAAAGTCATACTCTTTTATTGCGTGGAATAGCTGCATTCACTGCCCATATATACAATCTTTAACCCGGGGTGGGCAAACTTTTTGGCCCGAGGGCCACATCTGTGTATGGAAATTGTATGGCAGGCCACAAATGCTCAAGAAATTGGGGTTGGGGTGAGGGCTCTGACTGGGGGTGTGGACGGGGATGAGGGGTTTGCGGTGCAGGAGGGGGCTCTGGGCTTGGACTGAGGGGTTCGGAGGGGGATCAGGGCAGGGGGTTGGCGCACAAGAGGTGGTCAGGGATGCTGGTTTTGGGCGGCGCTTACCTCAAGCAGCTCCCGAAAGCAGAGGTATGTCCCCCCACTCCGGCTCCTACGTGGAGGCATGGCCAGGCAGCTCCCATTGGCCATGGATCCCAGCCAATGGGAGCTGCAGGGGCAGCGCTTGGAGAGGGGGCAGTGTGTGGAGCCCCCTGGCTGTCCCTACACACAGGAGACAGAAGGGGGACATGCTGCTGCTTCTGGGAGCTGCACAGAGC